TGAGCATCCTTCCAAAATGAATGATATTAAAAAAATCCAAACGCTTGTAATGAAACTATTTTCCAGTGTTGGTTGCCAAGTACAGTGAGGCAGGCCAATTTTATATTGGCCATCAAGCTAATCTTTTTTTCAGTTTGTTTGAACCAATATTACAAAAATTAAATTTGTGATAAAATCTGGGCTGCAAAATGAAAACAGAAACAACCAGTTATCTCATTTATTTCTCCTTCCAGTGATGTGATGGCTTCTATAAAACCCTTTGGATTAATTCTGAAGAAGAGTGCCATTATATCGGTTTGCCAAAACTTATTCTTAACTTTATCTCAGAACTCTCTTTCCAATTTTTCCAATGCCATTTTCTGCCAGTTGCGTAAATTGGATTGAACTTAATTCAAACCGCAAGACCATAAGAAATTGGTCTACTCCTGGTCCTTTCAGCCCCTTGAGTCTGCTTAACCATTTGATAGGATCATGGCTGATCTGACATTCCTCACGTCCACTTTCCTGCCCTTTCCCTGTAACCCTTGATGCCCTGAATGATCAAGAATCTATCTATCTCGGCCTTCAATATAAACAAGGATTCTGCCCTACAGCTCCCTCGCAAGAAGTTCCAAATCACTTTATATTGTAACTGAATGCTATTCTACATAAAGAAATCTTGATAGTAATTTTGAATGCAGTTTAGATAAGGTACTATGGAACTATGCGTCATGATTATAACAACAGAGATGTGTCGGTGGCTCTTTTCACACTACAATGGTCCAGATTTTATTGAAAATCCAACAGAATTTAAATTAAGCACCTACCAGTGAGCAACTCACGATGCGAAGGAGGTATCCTGTGAACTGTGAATCCCTAGAAGTTGCTGGTTGATATGCTTCATTCCTCAGTCAGTTTAATAGATTTTTTTATTGAACTTGCAGCATGTCACAGTATTTGCCCATTAAACGCAATGCAGAAAAGCAAATCTGGCAAGTAACAATGTAAGAGCCTTTTTTTAAATTGCTGTGATAATTAAGAATGTGTGCCAAGTAACAGCTCTTGCGCAGAAAGGACAAATTTTAGTGTGGAGTCTTATTTCGTCAGGTTATGAACTGCTTTTGGAGATTTTAAGTGCTATGTATACAACAAAAATGATATTTTACCTGTTTTTATTTTTTGTCCTTTCCAACCTTTCTTTCCTTCTCTTTGTCTCATTATACCTGATTTAACATTGAGTTCACCCATTCTTATTTTCCTTTCTCGTCAGTCCATCCTCAGCTTAATTTTTGATCTTTTACTCACCTTGGAGGACAGAGACTTTTTTTGTCCCTTTGTTCACTACAGACAAAACAGATATCTTGTTGCTCTTGCTGCATCATTACCAGCTCAATTACTGAAATCACACAGGCAAAAGAAAACATAAATCAATAGGACACACTGTAATAAAATCCATGACTTTGTCTTACAAATGGGATGGGTGTCACCATGTGAGTTGTATTCATCATTAAATACAGAGCCTTGCTTTAGACAAAACCAACAGCTTAAACCAGCACAGTCAAAAACTTTAAGCAGGGCCAAATTCAAGGAAAACATGATGCAGAATCATTTGACTTGATTTTAATTTTCAACACAAGTAAAACAGAATACAACATTGCCTTCTGATTTGTCTCAGCACTGGAAGTGTGCGGTAAGCCATTCAGCTGGTAATATCAAAGTAGTCTTCTGTCAGTTGATACACTTTGGAGCACGCTCTGTAAAGGGATTTCAGTCGTTTTGAAAGAGGAAATATTTGAATAATTTATTATTAAATATCCTGGTTCTTTCACTGGTTCTTTCTGATGATCCTAAGTGGTGTTATTGTTGCTTGATTGTGTAAGCAGCCTACAGGGACTTGAGTGCTATTTTCACAGAGGGATATTTTTATGTAATACTTCTATTCTATAAACAAAATGATAGTGATTACTTTTTATTGCAACACTTACTGAATTCCATTCTCAATATTTACCAAAGGAGTTGACATGTTTATCATTTTTAGCATTTAAACGTTTATTTGTGCATATTGGTAAGCCATGGGTTTTAAGTAATGCATTTATCAAAAATAAATTGCAAATAGAACTCCGTACTTAATGAACTGTATTTTACACACACCAGTAGTAGGCAGGTGGATGTAGGGATTGGAGGGGAGAGACAGGTTAATGTTCTACATATTTGATGCCATCTGTATGGATTTTAGTATTGCCTTTTGATAAGATCCCACAAGGCAAACTGGTTATCAAACTAAAAACGTATTGAATCCAAAGTAGTAAATTGAATCCTTAATTAACTCCAAGGCAAGACACAAAGTATAATCTATTATTTTCTTCAGTGGCTGGAAGGTTATTTCCACTGAGACTCCAAGGGATCAATGCTCAGTCACTGATTTGAGGCACATACGCATCATTGCTGAAGAGTGATACCAAATACAAGTGTGAGAAAGAGGACAAAGCCATCTAAGTGTGACATTACAGGAAATTAAGAGTTTTTAAACCAGCACGTGACAAGGAACAATTTATCAGCAAGGGAAAGGGAGCTAATTTGTAAACCACGGTGAGGAATTTCTATTTTGTTCTAACTTTCAGTTTATAATTAAAAGTACAGGAGTAAGAGTAAATTAAGTAAAAATAACTCGAGTTGAGCTAAGTAAAGTGCCATAAGCACATAAGGTTAAGGTATGGTAGGACAGCTCAGCCAAGTTGGATTTCTGTCTTGTGACATGGCGAACCATGTACACTTCTCCTGGTCTGGATGAGCCCATGTACAGGAAGTATCACTAGTTCCACAAGCTTGAGCTCTGGATATCAGATCTTGAGGAGCGGTAAGGATCACTAAGGTGTACCTGGTGTGACACAGAACTGCATGCATGGCACATTCAGAGAGCCATTCTCGCTGCACGTTATGGGCAAGCAGACAGAGAGGGAATGGGTGATCACCAGGCAGTCCAAATGAAGTAGCTGATAGTGCAGGAGTATGCAGACATCCCATTCTCAAATAGACAACTGGAAGATATTAATGGACGAGTCAGGTGGGCAGATTAATTGGAAATGGAGTTCAGTCCAGAGAAGTGTGTACTAATTAATTTGAGAGGGGCAAACACAACACAGAGCTACACAAAACAAAAAAAAAGAATGGCAGGATGGTCTGAAATATAGAGAAACCAGAGAGACATTGGAACTTTGGAGTGTATGTGCAGATTCCTTACTGTGGCTAGATTGGCAACAAAAGAATGCAAATGGGATACTTGCCTTTCTAAAATAAACACCGACTATAAGTTAATAAACAAAGAATAGCAGATAATGGGGATATGAAACAAACAAAAACAGAAATTGCTGGAGAAACTGAGCAAGTTTGGAAGCATCTGTGGAGAGAAACAGTTAAAGTTTTGAAAGCAGTGACCCTTCTTCATAATCTCCTGATTAGTCCACTTGCCAACCAGTCAACATTTTGCTTTCATGCAGTATATATGTTGGTTTTCACCTCAAATTTGTATTCTTGTGAAATATCCTGATCTAAGTGAGCATCAAGACAAAAAGCTTGAACAGAATGTGCCTTTTTTTTAAGCAATAGATTCTAGGAGGACAAGTTATGAAGCCTATGGAAAGCAGGGATTCAATACCTTCTGTAGCCATTTGTCCAATCTGGATGGAAAATTAAGTATCCCAACCTTAGTGAATGCTTTGTCAAAAGAACAGAAAATGATACAGAAAATAAATTCATTAAAATAAATGAGAAACCAGGAAAGATAATATGCTGTATAGCGTAAATGCTAAAGAGGGTGCAGGAGCAGAGAATGTGTTTGCAATAAGACCTAATCATTGTAGGAGAGGTGGAGAGCATGGGTAATAAAGCATCAAATGTTCTAGGCTTTGTCAGTAGGGGCCTATAGTACAAGTGTTTAACCTCTAGAAGAACTGTCTTCAACTGGGGTATTACATTCAGTTCTGAGCAGCTCACGTCAGAATGGATGTGAAGGCATTAGACAGGATGTTGAAGACTATCACAGAATGCTTTTCGGGATGAGGAACTTCAGTAATGCGGACCGATTAGAGAAATAACGACAGTTCCCCTTGGAAGGGTCAAAATCATGAGAAGTCAGGACAGAATTGACAAGACAAACTGTTCCCATTGGTGGAAGGATCGAGAATCAGAAGGCATGGATTTAATGTGTTTGGGAAAGAGGCAATGCCAGCATGAGGAGGAACTGGGATCCACTGCTTGAGGATGTGATGGGGACAGATTGAGTCAAGAAATTCAAGAGGGCATTTATTTATTATTTGCAGATAAACAATGGAAAGAATTATTGGAAAAGACAGGAGTATCCCAATTTAAATTGCTTCTTTGATCATCCAGCATAGTGTCAATGGGCCAAATGGCTGCCTCCTGTGTGGTAACAGGACTCGCATGATCTTCTATTCATAAAGCACGGTGCAGAAGCCTTTTTAAACAAACCGTAACTCTCTGGCAATATTTATTATTTGATTGTACTATTTCACAGTGTATATTCTGAGTGTTTATCCACTTTCAAATGATCTTCCAATACATGTTGTGTTCACCAGTGAATTTATTTTTTAAAAAGAAGTAGCTCGATGGTTTTAACGTGGAGCCATTGGTCTGATGACAAAGGTCTTGTTTTAAAACAAAAAAAGGAAGTAAAAGTCCCTGAAGATCTAAAGGTTATAGGCTGCTCTATCATTAGACAGAGATAACTGGTGATGAGTCTAAACGAAGGGTTATGCTGCCTCAGGCAAAGGGACAAAGTTGAGAAGGTGGGAATTTCATAGTGAACTCAACTGGTACATGTATTAACCTGGCACTGGATGGTGTCACTCTGTGTTGCAAGCCTGCTGTCTTCATGAAACAATAATTCATTTGTTACTCCTCATGGGTCAGATATTAACATTCTTGATAGTGAAGTGATTCTGGTGTGATTTTTCATTGGTGAGATCCTTTCTGACTGTGCTGTTTCCACAAAACACTACCAGATCTTGAAAACTCATGAGGCTGTTGCTAAAAATGACGTGCAGAAACTCTTGGAGATCAACCAGAAGCAAACGTGAGTATGTTTTATTTTATCTTTCACTATTTTGTTAATAAAACAAAACTTCTGTTACTAATCCAGTTAAACTTATTGGTACATGTATTTTTGTTTTCTTACTGACCATGCTATCTTTGATGTGATTTAAATATATGATGTACAGTGAATATTTACCTTTATTAGAAGTCCATGAGCCATGGAAGATTTCAGAGCGAGTCTCGATTGACCAAAAAGTGATCTTTTGAGCCTGTTGGCTTGATCATATGCCTGATACACTTGCCAATCTTTTAAAGAAATTCTGAAAGCTTGTGGAATATGTTCTATTTAATGCCAACAGGTTCTCAAATTGAATTTAGATTAATTGTTTCCTTCCTAATTGCTTATTGCTTTTACCTTTTGGTACAACCCATTAATACAGTGACCAGAATAAAAAGTCATGATGTGGAGGTGCCAGTGTTGGACTGCGATGGGCAAAGTCAGAAATCACACAACACCAGGTTACAGTTCAACAGGTTTATTTGAAATCACAAGCTTTCGGAGTGTAGCCCCTTTGTCAGGTGAAGTGTGAGAGAAGAGCACACAGAACACAGAATTTATAGGCAGAGAGATCAAAAGATTATACAAATGCTGTGAGTGGAGGGTCGAATAATAAGTCTTTGCTGGTGACCAAGAGAATTAAACGGTGTGAGTAAAGCTGAATAATAAGCTTGACCTATAAAAGAATTACCTATAATCCAATTAAATCAGGCAGAGAAATAACTACAAAAAATTAAAAATAAGGTGGTGCTGGAGACAAACTCCATGACTGGAATAACATGATAGGTATAAGAGTCGCATGCCGAGGGTCCAACGAAAGTAATAAGTAATCCAAAACTGTACAAACTAATTCAAGTAGAGAGATCATAACAATTTATCAAGGTGATGGTGTCAAAACAGGACAGTAAGGAAGATTTTACAGATACAGAACAGTGTAGTGGGGTCACATATAGCGCGACATGAACCCAAGATCACGGTTGAGGCTGTCTCCATGAGTACAGAACATGGCTATCAGTCTCTGCTCGGCGATTCTGTGTTGTTGTGTATCCCAGGTCTGTCTTGGAGGATCCTTACCCGAAGATTGGAGGTTGAATGTCCCTGACCGCTGAAGTGTTCCCCAACTGGGAGGGAACATTCCTGTCTGATGATTGTTGCATGGTGTCCATTCTTCTGTTGTCATAGCGTCTGTATGGTCTCCCCAATGTACCATGGCTTGGGGCATCCTTTCCTGCAGCGTACGAGATAGACAACGTTGGCCAAGTCACACAAGCATCTGCCGTGCACGTGGTGGGTGGTGTTCCCACGTGTGATGGTAGTGTCCATGTCGACGATCTGACATATCTTGCAGGGGTTGTCGTGACAGGGTTGTATGGTGTCGTGGTCAATGTTATCCTGAAGGTTGGAGAGTTTGCTGCGAATGATGATCTAAGGTTTGGCAGACGTTTGAAGGTGAGAAGTGGAAGCGTAGGCAAGATGCACATCATCATCGATACATGTTGAAGGCTACGAAGAACATGGAATATTTTCTCCACTCCACAGTAGTGCTAGACAATGAAAGGGACACTATCAGTTGTATCCTGTGTTTGTCTTCTGAGGCGGTCATTGCAGTTTTTTGCTGTGGCACGTCTGAACTTGTGACTGATAAGTTGAACATTGTATCCTGTTCTTTATGAGGGTGACCTTCAAAGTCTTTAGGTGTCTGTTGCATTCCTCCTCATCTGAGCAGATCCTGTGTATGCATGGGGCTTGTCCATAGGGGACGGCTTCTTTAATGTGTTTAGGTTGGAAGCTAGAGATGAGCAACACTGTGAGGTTATCCATTGACTTTTGGTAGAGTGATGTACTGAGGTGTCTGTCCTTGATGGAGATGTGTGTGTCCAAGAATGAGATTGAGTCTATAGAGTAGTCCATGGTAGATCTGATGAAACTTGTTGATGTCGCTATGTAGTTGATTCAGTGATTCCTCACCATGAGTCCAAAGGAAGAAAATGTCATCGATGTGTCTGACGTATAGCATTGGTCGGAGGTCCTGCACAGCAAAAAAGTCTTGCTCGAACTTGTGCATGAAAATGTCGACGTATTGAGGTGCAAATTTGGTCCCCAAGGCTGCTCTGTGTGTCTGGATGAAGAACTGGTTGTTGAAGATGAAGACGTTGTTGTCGAGGATGAAACAGATGATTTGTAGAAAGTAGGTTCATGTCACACTACATGTGAGCCCACCACCTTGTTCTGTATCTGTAAAATCTTCCTTATTGTCCTGTTTTGACACCATTACCTTGATAAATTGTTATGATCTCTCTACCCTAATTAGTTTGTACAGTTTTAGATTACTTATTACTTTGATTAGACCCTCAGCATGGAACTCTCTTACACATATTTTGTTATTCCTGTCATTTAATTTGTCTCCAGCACTGGCTTATTTTTAATTTTTTGTAATTATTTCTCTGCCTCATTTAATCGGATTATAGGTCATCCCTTCCCCTGTTATTCAGCTGTTGACACTTTAATCAGACCGTTTAACACCCTTGGACACCCGCAGAGACTTATTATTCGACCCTCCACTCTCGGCATCTTTGTTCTTTTGATCTCTCTGCCTATAAATTCTGTGTCTGTGTGCTCTTCTCTCACACTTCACCTGATGAAGGGGCTGTGCTCAGAAAGCTTGTGATTTTAAATAGACCTGTTGGGCTATAACCTGGTGTCGTGTGACTTCTGACAGAATAAAAAGGACATTGTATCCTATTAGACTAATCTTTTATTCCCAAAATGCTTCAGAATATTTTGTCATACTATTGGTAACATTATAACAAATTAAATTCAGAGCTTCAATATGTCAACTAAACAGAACAAATGTGTCTTTATGCCACTTATTGTTAAGCCATTTCCTTTTTGGCCTCAGGCTCCCAGTTGTATAAACTGTTGAATAAAAGCCTCTTTGTATATAACTGTGAGGGGCATTACAATGTAATGTTTGATATTGTCCATTCATTTGCAGATTCTGCATAATGAGATAAATATATCAATCTAACTGCAATTGATGCAACATTGGGATACTGAACACTCATTCAGGGTCTTTCCTTTGGATTTCTAACACCATACCAGAATAACTTCAGTTACAATGTTGTTTGTGTTTAAGTTGGGTCTCTATCACAAGAATTTGTCCCTTGCAGACTTCCCTGTTTAATGGTTTAAATGTTATAGATATTTATTCTTCAACCTGTTCAGAGATATTATTTCTGAAACAAATAGAACTTGAACCTGAACCTTCTGGCCCAGAGGTAGAGACAATACCACCCATGTCTGAAGAGCCTCTGAATTATTTCAACACAGCTGGTACTCAGATATTTTAAATCAATTTGTTTAGACATGCAATGACACATATCTGGAGCATATAGGCCTGGAACCTATGTCTTCTGGCCAAGAAGTAGAAACTTTACCATTGTATTCTTCTTAATGTTATATCTTGCTGTTTAGACAGTGTTTTGACACATAAGGCTCAAGAAGAGGAAACAGATGTGTCAATAATATTTTATTCTTCCAGGTCAGGTGAAATTATTGTGAAGTTGGGTAAAATATTTGTAGATTGGAAGGCAGGAAGTTAGAATTTGATGTTTCTAAAATGATAGGTGGGGAGAGTGTGTGGTCCCTTTTTAAGAGATAATGTGTTTTTCTAGGCTTGGAGATTTTTTTAAAAAATGTCTGCAAGAAGCAGCAGGCGCACAGAGAGCTCCTGAAATTGAAACATTTATATCAGGAGGCTGGGTGGTTGGCAACCCAGGCAGTAGTTTATTTAGGCAACCAGTTTGAATATCAGCCAATTAATTTTAAACCAGGCACTTAGAGACTAAAAACGAATTAAATTTAAATCTGATGGTTTTTGACAACCTAGGACCAATCCTATTGTAAGAAATTTATAGATCATCAAGGATATAAAAGAAGAGGGCTTTTGAAAATTTGTTGTGCGAGCAGCTGCCTTCTGTTATTGTTAACAACCAGCAGCCCTAAAGAGAAAATCATTGGCTGTCAGAATTCTCTAAGCTCTCAAAAAAAAATCATCTGACTAAGGGTGTAGCAGCACTCTAGCTAATATTCCGGACACAAGGATTTGATTGAGAAAGGTGTTCCTGACTGAAAAAACAGCGGAGAAGGCCCCGAACGTTCTGGAAGATGTATCCAGGCTGTAATTTTGAGGGACTAAATTTTAAGTTTCTTTATTTTTATTAATTTGGTTTGTGTAAGTGGGACTTGTATTTATTGGGACAGCATACTATTAGAATTTTTGTTTTATTCGGGGAAAAGTAAATAGTTAAGGAAGGAATTGTTCGTTTTGTTTGTAGTTCTGTTAATTTGATCAATGTTAGAGTTAGATAAATAAATTTTTATTGGTTGACTATAGGTTCAGTGAAAAGATCTCATTTCATTTAACCACACCTTTGTAACAGATTGGGGGTGGTGAGAGGCAGGTTATACCACTTTTCACACTTCTTTTAACAGATTATAAGGTGAGGTTAGCCTCTTTGGGTATTTTAGTTTTAGTTATCAGAGAGGGGGATTGACCTCTGCATCATAACAATATGGTACTAAGATTTGGAACCATAGTAGTATACTGTATCCTTACAAACATAAGGAAGAGGAAATGTAATAGACCATAATGGCCCTTTGAGCCAGTCAGGATGGTATTGGTTGATATTTCGTGTCAACTGCACATTCCACCTGCTTGCCATGTATGTTAATTTCCCCATAACATCAAAAACCTGTTTAGATCAGCCCTTATATACTTGATGGAGAAGGTAGGGTGCAGAATTTCAAAGATTCACAAGGCTTTCAGCGAAACAATCTCTCCTTATCTCAATCTTACTGTGGATGGTGAGGGGTGGGTGGTGGTAGCAAAATCTGCTTGTGTCTACCTTGCAGGTTTCCTCCTGAATCTTGTACATTTCAATGGTATCATCCCTCTTTTTCTGCTAAATCCCTGGAATTAC